GCGAGGAAGGAAGGATGTCAACGAATGAAGAATGTTTTAAGAGAGGGGCATCGATTCGCATTTAACAAATAATAATAAACCATTACTGAGTGTAACGTCCGGTAATCGGCTCTAAATACAGATCAAAATGTCACACATTCATGATGATTCTCACTCACTTCGGATATATTTCGCTCTTGGAGGTGGATTAATACCGAGAAGTTTCTCAATGGCGAGTGCAAAGCCACTCTCGTTGCACATCATCGAGACATAATCTAGTCTATCGAAGTAGGGCAGTGCCTGCGTGTAGGTTTTGTGCTCGATTAACTTTTCGGTACCACGATGCAATAGTCCAATATGCGGGATTGCTTTGATTATCACCTGAAATATCTCACAAGACTCATTCATTTCGTAAAAATTCGCTCACTAGTTGAATAAAGATGTATCTAAATAAAATTGTTAACTCTGAAATAAGCCTGAACTGAATAAGCGGCTTCTCCTGAACAGACCAACAAAAATGTTCACCTCAATAAAATGTTTGTGAATGATTCTAAATTCATATAGCGTTCAACAGATATCTAGCGTTCGCGTAAGACTGAACCCAACTGTAAGGCAAATGCGAAGTTTAATTGTAAGGTAAGTATCCCAATTCCTCTCGAAACCTTTGAAAATCTATCTTAAGGATGCTTACACACCAACTACTCATCGTTCACACCAACACTTTGTAAGACATTCACAAATTTATCCACACATTCACTGAACAAACCAAATTTTTGAGATTATGCGATTCATTTTCCCCTTTGGTGAATTGCATAAAATTGTTTACAATCACTGTTATTGGCTTACCTCACCCTCCAGTTTCAACACCAGCCGAAGTACACCGTGTGCGGCCGGATGTTGTGGTCCAAAGTTGAGAATCATATTCTCCAGTGATTTTTCACGTAACCTTCCTGAGAAATCATCGGACTGTACAGGGGCTGAGTACATTAATTTCTCAAATTTATCCAGCCCTATTTGTTTATCGTACTCGGTGGATTTATTGTTCGGTGACATCCACAGCGTTCCTAGCGTTCCGCCTTTCTGCAGTAATAATATGTTATTTTGAGCATTTTATCATGGAACCGGCAATAATAATGATTATTTTCAGTGATTCACGTGAATTTCATTCACAAATTGAATTCATATTGATGTTTAGTAAAACGATATTAAATATGCATTCAGTGTTCCGAGTGTTCACATGTTATCTTCAAGTTTTGATATATTTCTTTGCTCTTTCAATATGTTATTACTGAAGTTCCAACCTTAAACTGTCGTTCAAATTGCGCATCTGGGTACCACATATGCGCCTGACGAGAGCTGTTGTTGTTTTGGACGCATGGAAGAATGCGACTCAGTCGAACGACATTGCTCAGAGTGGGTCGAAGGTGAGGCGACACAATCATAATGATGATAATAAATTGCCTTCAGACACCTTTAAAAATCACGTTTAAGTAAAATCTAATCCCAATTTGTATACGACGATAGATTACTGGAGTGGAGCTTAATTCATTCGTTACATTTGGAATTGATGAATTTGAGATTGTGCAATTTTCAGAAACCCGTAATCAATGTCAGCTAGGAGCGTTTCTCACTGTTCTATATAGGAA